GTTCCAACCCACAGTGTCCCTGTATAAGGTTCCTGAGGAGCAGTTGGTGAGCTCGAACTGCCTAACTAGTGGTTCAAACTGACTTTGCAGTCTAGCACATTAACCCACAGCGCCACACACACAACACAAAAATCTACCAAGCATCAACAGCATAGAAGAGATGGTTGGGGGGCAGGCAGATTGAGTGAGTGGACGTGAAACATCCACACCAGAAAAAATAAGAACGTTGACACAACATGAAGAATGTAACCAATGCCACTTATCTTCATTTCTATAAACTGTAGAACATGTTTTGTTTTGTTTTGAACAAAATGACTTGATATGGTTATTCTCTGAAAATTAGAAACATCACAGAAAATCATATGGAAAACAATTTTCATTGCCCTTATATAATTTGCAGTGTTCTGGTAAGGTTTAAAGTCTAATATCTTATTTCTTACGTTATTAAGATTTTCTTAATAATTTTTTTTTTTAAGTTTCCTGGTATAAAGGGTTTGTGTGTGTGTGTGTGTTTAAGTTTTTATTGTGAATTGAGTGATTGTTTGTTTACATGGAAGAACATGAGTTTTACACTTATCATTTTCATTGTCATGATTACAATTCCCTCTGTGCCTCATCATTCACCAGTATTTGCTTCTATTTCCTCTTCTTTTGGGAGGGGTGGGCAATGTACACAAAAACACTCAGGAATAAGGGTATATTGAGAAATAATAGCTTCATATTTTTTGTTTAATAAAGATTTTGTAGCAATATTTTTTGTCTTATGCTTGTATTTTTGTGGAATATTTTGGTGGTTATATGCCGTAGAATCTACTCCAATTCATAGTGACCTGGTATAGGGTTTCTCAGGCTAAAAATCTTTATAGGAGTAGAAAGCCTCATGGTTCTCCCAAGGAGAAGCTGGTAGACTCGAACTGCCGACCTTGCGATTCGGAAATGTATGTAGAAATACAAAATGATAGTGTGTCCTCATGTTGATCTCTAGTTCCAGAACCCACAAAGCAACAATTTGAAATTGTTGTTGCTAATATGTTTCAGTTGATGGCCACTGTCCACCCTTCAATTCATTAAGGTTGGGATTTTTCCCACCACTCTCCTACTGTTTCTACTTTTTGTCAGGAGCATTTGTATCATGTCTGCTGTGGGGATATTACAAAGATAAACCTTAGAAGATATAGAAACAATAGTTAAAGTTACATAAATTTCATGTTCAAAAACAAAGGGAAGATTCTGTGAAGCACAATGAAAGAAGGAACAGGTGGTCAAACATTTCCTTGGAAAGCCCAAAAAGAAGCACGTGGTGTCACGAGGGTGAATGTCACCCAACACAGATAAGTCATGGTCCCACCCCACCCCACCCTACCCCACATAGACCTTTTCTGGTACCAGAGCATACAGTAACCACCACCATCACCATTATCAATAAAACTGTTTTGCAAAATCTTTCTGCATTGAATTACATTATTAGCTACAACATTATTAGTAATTGAGCTGCAGCGTTTAAAAATTTTCTCTTTTTTTCCCTTTGTTTATGACTTCATGTTCAGAATAGTTAATGATATGGTGGTGGTGGTGGTTGTTATGTGCCGTGGAGTCCGTTCCGACTCATAGCGACCCTGTACAGGGTTTCCGAGGCTGTAAATCTTTACAGGAGAAGAAAGCCTCATCTTTCTCCCACAGAACAGCTGGTAGTTTCGAACTGCTGACCTTGCGGTTCGCAGCCCGAGTTAATGATATAGGCTCACAAATTCTAATTACCACAAAATTGTAGCTGAAACACCAGAAATTTGACAAAGTCGGACTCTGGAAACATCGGCAGCAATGAAAATAACAGTGCATTCTTGCAGTGTGTATACAAACCAAGGCACCACGATTCTATAGGTTATTGCTTGTTTGTTGTTGTATGTGACTGCAGTTGGGTAGTAAAGACAGCTCTGTCCAGAACACATTAGAAGGTTCCAAGAGCTTTAGCTTTGTTGCTAAGTGTCATGTAGCACTCATAGCAACCCTGATTACGATTTCAGAGGCTGTAAATCTCTGTGGGAGCAGAAAGCTGTATCCTTCTCCCTTTAAGTGGCTCCAACGCTTATCCTATAGAGCTACCGAGCTCCCTTTAGCCTTGTGTTGCTGTTAAGCGCTGTCGAGTCAGTTCCGACCCATAGCGACCCTGTGTAGGGTTTCCGAGGAGCAGCTGGTGAGCTTGAACTGCCGACCTTGCAGTTCAAACAACTTTGCAGTCTGGGGCATTAACCCACAGCACACACCAGGGTATATTGATATATGCGAACTGGACATATGGGAAATGTTTTTGTTGTTATAAATTAATACAGTGTTGTAAATACATTGCACAGAATATTTGCAGACTGTCATTTTGGTGTCCACCCCCCAACAGTGTCTCCTAGATTCGTCATGGCACCCCTTCAACACCTCCGTGACAGTGAATGAGGTAAAGCCAAATCGCCTACGAAGAAGAAAAGGGCGGCCTCTTGAAGATGAGTTGGTATTTTTACTCTGAGTTGGTATATTTTCCGTTTGTTTGTTTTCTGTTGTTAGTACCTGTATTCATCTTTTTCCATAACCAAGTCATACATGCACAATGGGGAGGAAATATATGCTAACATGTTTAGGGCACTTGTCCTCAGCGGAGTGGGGATTATGAGCAATTTTTCTGTGTTTTCCACTTGTTCAATGAACTTGTATCTCTTCTGACAAGGAACAAAATAAAGAAATCTTGATAGTTGTCATATCCATTCCACCAGAAGATCCAGTACATCCAAGAGCAGGTGGGCAGCTCGGGTTGTTGCTGTTAGTTGCCAGTGGGTCAATTCTAACTCATAGGGACCCTTTTGTGCAGCGTATAACTGCTCCTGGTAGCATAGTGGTTATGAATCGGGCTGCGAACTGCAAGGTCAGAAGTTCGAAACTACTAGCTACGGGAGAAAGATGAGGCTTTCTGCTCCCGTAAAGATTTACAGCCTCGGAAACCCTGTTCAGGGTCGCTATGGGTCGGAACCGACTCGACGGCACTTAACAACAACAAATAACTGCTCCTTAGAGCTTTCAAGGTTGTAACCTTTCAGAAAAGCCTATCTCCAGGTTTGTTTTCCAAGTCATCTCTGAGTGGGTTCCAACCACCAACCTGCTGAACACTTAACCGTCGGCACCACCCAGGAATTAGTGCTACAACTCTGATCTTTGTCCAACTCTCGCTCACTTCAGATACTTCCTAAACCCAGAGGGATGAATGACTGCTGTAAGCCTGATTGAAGTGAATTACGAGGCAGGGAGATCCCATCGCCAGGCCAGCGGTCTACAGAGGCATCTCTAGGGAGAAGCTCCTTGCGTCATGTGGGTCCGCCCCTTCAAGGGCCTGGGTACAGCGTGTTCTGCTGCCCAGGCGTCTGTCGTGGAAGCAGGATTTCCGCGGTTGTGTAACTGCACCTCGCGGTCTTGGAGAGAGCCTGGGCTTCGCATCCTTCCTCCTCCTTTCCCCTGATCTCCCGCAGCCGAGCCATGGCCTGGGCAGCGGGGACCCGCGGTGCTCTCGGTGAGCTCTCGGCGCGCACGCTGCTATTCGACCTGCCGCCGGTACTGCTAGGCGAGCTTTGCACAGTCCTGGACAGTTGCGACGGCGCGCTGGGCTGGCGCGGCCTCGGTGAGTAGGGCCCGCCGGCGGGGCAGACGGGAAGAGGCCGAGGGGGCCGCGGTGCGCACAGTGCGTTCAACTAGCCTCTGGCTCTAGGGAGAGAGCGCTGTTCGGTCGGGGGCAGCTGCGTCCGGCCTACTGGGCTGCCCGGGCCCGACCTTCTAAGGTCGGAACCATTGGTGTCTCTAAGGGAGTGTAAGGACGCAGACTGCACCAGATGACACCGTCAGGAGGGTGGACACAAAACTGTCTATAAAACTTTTGTGTAGTGTTTCAGCAGAAATTTGTTATTTTTCATAAGCTCAGCTTGTTACTGTTGTTAAGTGCTGTCGAGTTGGTTCCGACTCATAGCAACCCTGTATAAGGTTTCTGAGGAGCTACTGGTGGGTTTGAACTGCTGACCTTGTGGTTTGCAGTCCAGTGCTTATCCTACAACATCACACCAGGTATATTGATACTTACATGTATCAGTATACTTACAAGGCTAAAAAATACTCAAAGTTAATTTACGTTTTTGTACTTTCGCTGAGATTTTGTGGAGTCCTGGTGTGGCGCTGTGGGCTAATTCGCTGGACTACAAAGTCGTTTGAACCACAAAGTCGGTGGTTCAAGCTCACAAGCCGCTCCTTGGAAACCTTATACGGGGCCGCTGTGGGTCGGAACCGACTCGACGGCACTTAACAACAACAAATGAGGTCCTTCCAGAGTTGTCATTATTACCCAATTACAATGAGACTTCGAAACACAGCGGTTTTGTCTGCACACGCTGCTGTATGCCGATTTTCATTGCTGTTGATGTTTTTAGTCTCCGATGTTGTCAAATTTTTTGGTATTTTAGCTACAATATTGTGGTAATTACTACTTGTGAACCTGTATCAGTACTTGTTCTGAGAAGGCCTTAGTAATTAAAGGAAAAAGTAGAATTTTAAAATGCTTCCGTTCAGTTACTAAGAATGTTGTAACTGATAATGTGGTAATTCTATGTAGAAAGATTTCACAGAACAATTTTGTTGTATTTATAAAATTTAAGGGGGCTTCAAAAAGTTTGGGGGAAAATGGAATTCAGGGTTAATGGAATCTTTTCACGAATTTTTGGAAGCCCCCTCGTATTACGTTTAAGTACTGTATTATATTCATCACATATTACTCCATGATTAAAATCAATAATAAACAGTACTAAGGACCCGACTCGATGGCACTTAACAACAACAACAACAAGGATTCTGTATGGTCTGGTGCAGGAAAAGGTCCTTGGGTAGGATGAAACAAACTTAGTGATGTAATTGGGCAGAACCTTCACTTTCCTCTCCCTGGTGTTGTTGTTGTTGTTGTTGTTGTTAAGGGTTGTCAAGTCGTTTCCAACCCATAGCAACCCTGTATAGGGTTTCCAAGGAGCAGCTGGTGAGCTTGAACCTCTGACTTTGCAATTCAAATGAATTTTCAGTCTGCCACAGCACCACAGGTGTAATAAATATTCCATGTTGTTAAGTGCCATCAAACCACTTCTGACCCATAACGACCCTGTATAGAGTTTCCACGGAGCAGTTGGTGGGTTTGACCTTGTGTAAGTGGTGCAGTGCTTATAGCACCACACCAGGACGCCCTGAGACCCATACAGTAGCTCCCTCTTCGCTTTTAAAGAAACTTCCTATATGGTAATACTAAGGGATCTGTTGTTGTTAAATGTTGTCGAGTTGGTTCCAACGCATAGCGACCCTGTATAGGGTTTCCTAGGAGTGGCTGATGAGCTTGAACCTCTGACCTTGCAGTTCAAACTAACTTTGCAGTCTAACACATTAATCCGCAGTGCCACACACGGACTCAGAGGCTTGGAAATGGAGCCCTGGTTGCACAATGGTTAAGTGCTTAGCTGCTAACCTAGAAGTTGGCAGTTGGAACCTACCCAGCTACTCCCCACCCAGCCACGGCCCAAGAGACAGACAACCTAGGAAACCCTATGGAGCAGTTCTAGTCTGTGAGTCAGGAAACCCTATGGAGGGCAGTTCTGTTCTAAATCTGAATGACTTGAGGGCACACAAGAGCAGAAGTTTGGCAAAGGAAGATTCCAATAAGAAGCCATTTTATTTTCTGATTCAGTTTGAAATATTTTGTTAAGTCTTTTCTTGGTTCTGAAAAATTACCCCAGAATATAATTTACATACAAAAACATTTTTATCTCTCTGAAAGAATCCTAAGGAGTTCTGGTAGCATAGTGATTGAGTTGGTTGCTAACCTCAAGGTCAGCGGTTCAAAATTACCAGAAGTTCAGTGGGAGAAAGATGAGGCTTTCTGCTCCCATAAAGATTTACAGCCTCAAAAACCCTGTGCAGGGTCTCTATGAGTTAGAACCAACTCTACGGCACACAACCACCACCACCAAAAGAGTCCGGGTGTGGAAAAAATGGAATTCAAGATTAATGGAATCTTTTCATGAACTTTTTGAAGCCCCACAAGGCCGGCGGTTCAAACTCACCAGCTACTTCTAGGGAACCCTATACTGGGTTGCTATGAGTTGGAACCAACTTGACGGCACTTAACAACAAAATTATTTATTTTTTGTTGTTTTCAATGTACCCTCAAATCCCCAGCTTCATTAAACGGCAGATGAAATACTAGATTAAAAACTATTTGTAATTAACATGCCTCCATTTTCTTAAATAAATGCATCTTGCTTATTTATCCAATTTGGTGAAATGAAGGTTTATGCTAAAGAATGACTTTTTATTTCAATCTAGAAAATTGGCTCCCAAACCCCATATTATGCAAAATTAAGCAGCTGTCAGAAATAGTGGAGTACTAAGTATAATCATCACAAATAATTTCTATAAAAATTTTTGTTTTATTAATTGTAGGCTTTTTGCGGTCAGATTTTGTTACTTCATTATGTCACATTTAACAGTAGTTTAAGATAAACATGGTTTTATCAAAACACTCACTAAATTCTCTGAAATAGCTATTGTTTCTTACCAAAAATAGTAGAAGACTTGTGAGGAAAACAGTTGCTTGTTGCTTGTTGGTTGATTAGCACTGTGGACCTATTTTCTGGAATTGGAGCACTGTGCTTCCGGTTGTTTAAAAGTTGTTTGTATAGTATTGCTAGGTGCCATCGAGTCACAGCGACTCTGTGCACAACAGAATAAAACACTGCCCAGTCCTGTACAATCCTCTCAAGTGTTACATTTGAACCCATTGCTGTTGCCTCTGTGTCTGTCTGTCTCATTGGAGGGTGATTCTTCCTTTACTCTGTCCCTCCACTTTACCAAGTATGGTGTCCTTCTCCAGGGATTGGTCTCTTCTAATAACATGTCCAAAATCTGAGAGAGGATTCTGGTTGTACTTGTTCTAACAGATTTGTTTGTTTTTCTGGAAGTCCATGGTACTTTTAATATTCTTCTCCAACACCATAATTCTACGGTCTGCCTTGTAGTTGTTATGTTCTGCTGAGTCTGTTCCGACTCATAGCGATTCATAGGAACAGTTTGTGGTTTGCCTTATTCATTGTTATACATAGTATGTTGTTGTTGTTGTTAAGTGCCGTCGAGTCGATTCCAACCCATAGCGACCCTGTATAGTGTTTCCAAGGAGCAGCTGGTGAGCTTGAACTGCCAACCTTGCAGTTCAATCGGCTTTGCAGTCTGGTGCATTAGCCCACAGCACCACACCAGGACTCCATACATAGCATAAGCTCTCAGTAATTTTAAACTATGGTCCTTAAGTAAACATCTCAGCCCTTATGTAAATTCAACTCTTTTGATTTCTGAACAACAACAAAAAAAGAAACTTCTAGTATTCATCTGAAGGATAAGATCCCTCCCCACCATTAGGCATTTTTTAAATGGATGATGGCATGAGCTATATATGTATCTATAGATTGCCTATAGTTATTGAATTTGTGAGAGAAAAAAAATGTCTGAGTCCACGCTGTGGATGGATAGTGAAAGGGACTATTCATGAGGGAAGCAGCCGGTATATACTGGGAAAAGGGGGAGCATGTGCCCCATCTGAAAGGAGCAGTCGGCACTCAGCCCCGGTCACGGCTGCTTGTCAGGATGCCCAGCTCAGTGCTGCTTGGGTTTCACAGAAGCAGGCTGTCATATCATTTCTACTGCAGAGTGACCTACATGCACTTCAAACAACCTAACTTTTACTTAGCAGCTGAGCACTTTACCCACTGTGCTACCAGGGCTCCTTGATTTAAGGACAGTCCCTCTAATGCTCAGTACAACTCAGAGCCCCAAATTCCATTTAGGAAACAACTGTAATAAGTGACAGATAAAACTGCCTCAAGCTGATCATCATTCTTGATGGTAAATATCAAAGCTTTGCTTACACAGTCCCCTCAGGAAACAGGCAAGTCATACAGCAACATGATCAATGCATATAAGATTAAGTAGGCCTCTTGGTCTGGTGTGGAACCGCAGGATAAGCACTTGACCTCAAGGTCAGCAGTTCATACTTACCAATCTGCTCCTTGGAAGATCTAAACAGGGCCACTATGAGTCGACTATGAACTGACTATATGGCACTTCACAACAACAAAGGCCTGTTGTTCACAAGCTTGAAAGTCGAGGCAACTTGAGTATCTGTTGGAAGTGTTTAGTGTAATCATTAGCAATAATTCAGACAAAAATCTTTGTTTTATTAAATGCAGGCATGCAATCTGGTAAAGGTAAAACACAAACAAACCTTCAGGCCCTACCCCTGAAAGTACTGTTTCGGTAGGTCTGAGTTGAGGGAACAGCATGTCTCTGGGTTTTTGCCAGTACCATGTGATTCTAATGCAGCCTGGCTTGGGAACCATTGCTTAGATCAAATTTTCCTCTTTGGTGGTGGTGGTGTGCCATGGAGTCAGTTCCAACTCATAGTGATTCTGCATAAGGTCTCATCATTCCATAAATCTTTATGGAAGCATAAAGTCTCATCATTCTCCCTCAGAACAGCTGGTAGTTTTGAACTGCTGGCCTTGAGGTTAGTAGCCTGATTAGTAAACACTACGCTACCAGAGTTCC